GCCGCTGTGAAAATTAGCTTCGAAGTCTTGGTTACTCTTAAATTATTTATTATAGTGACCGTGTTTTCGCACTAGAGAGCGGTGTTTAATATAGGATTCAAATGAAACTTTTTTTTATTACTGGATCAAGATTTTATGAAAAAAAATGTATTCTATGTTGCTGGTCTACAGGAGTCTCAAGCAAAGTTTCAAGAGCATTGGCTCATTAATAGATACAATAGATTTTTTTTTTACGCGGACAGAAAAAAATGAACAACTTATAATAATTTAAAGTATTTAGTTGAATGTATAACCTTGTACAACGTCCTTGAGTTTGACCATTCACAACAGACAATAGAATTAAAAAGAAACATGGCGCTGCGCCATGATAGATAGCGAAATCGCGGAATATAATTCAAATTATTTATCAGGTTTTACGTTATTGCTATAATGTTTGGGCAAATCAAATTTCCCTATGGAGATATATTCAGCCTTTTCTTTCCAGCTCTCTTCCTTCGGGGAAACAGAATCCAAAGAAATATGTACGTACATTTGTCATTGTTGGTTGAAAATAATTTTTGAAGCTTTATTTAGAGGGGGGGGGGGAGTCCTTATCATTGTTTGAAAACTTATAATCTTTGCACTGCCCTCTTTACATAGCACTTTGGTTCCATTCTTAACGAAAGGTCGTTCTATGGACTTTTTCTGTTTAAGATCTGATGTTTTGGATACCATATTATTTGAAAAAGGGCAAAGCACCAAGGCAGTGAAGACACGATTTCTGAGGACGAAACAATGCAAACATCAGTGTCTCTATCATCACAGGAGGCACCACGTGGTGTCATGTTGCAAGGTATAATGTTAGTTTAGATTTACAATCTAGGCAAAAATTCTTTTGGAATCCGATTTGAAGTATTTTCGCCCACATTTTATTTGCTCTCTCATAACCAGAAACGGCTAAAAGAGTCAGGTTTCAAAAGTTGAAATGTGATATTTTGAAATACCTTTATTTTGGTCTATTTTGATTCAAATAGGAGTGGGAAATTTTAATTGAT